GTAACTAAGAAAAAGCCAATCAGAATAGCAAAGCAATCATTCTTTATAATTGTACTCGTTGTCTCTTCTTATTGAGGACCAGGTCGTGGGTGCAGCAGTCCTCACCACATCTTTAAGGGATTTTCCAGCCATGCCGTGGAGGAAGCTCATTTCAGCCGCTTGTTATCTGTGATTTAGGTGAGGGTCGGAACATAGACTTAATGCTATAATTGAGAGCTCTGCCTATTGGGCCAGCTCTCTCTTACCCACAAGAGAAAATGGCAGCATCTGCATTAATGTGGCAGCTGTATCAATTTGTGTATCCATTTCCCACTCCATTCTCCCCGCACTGATGAACCAAGAGATACTTGAACTGCTCTGCTTGAGACTGGAACTGTCCTCCAATATGAAGAGCACAGACCACCCTTTTATGGTTAACATGGTTAGGGCATGCTCTACGTCTTGCGCGGGGGCAGCTAGCAGAACAACACGATCTGTAAAATGTAAAAATAAAATATAATGGCAGACCCCTACTAGCCTCACCTATAGTAATCCTGTCCGTACAGGTTATGAACAGGACTGGGGACGCAGGGTCCAGCATGCACTAATCCAACTTAAAGCCAGCAATATGAACCAGACTTCTGCTCAACTTATAAAGAGACTATAATAATTTATCGGAATTCATTATTATTATAATCACAAGATTATAATTTCTAAATGTCAACAGTTCTTCCAGTAGAAAATTAAGCTAGAACCTTAAAAGGGTAAAGCAAGAGGATTTGACTTGCAAAGGGAAAAACGTTTGAAAACAATTGAGGGCCATGCTTTTGGCCTTTAGCTGCGGTGTGCCTGAAGCCACCAGGCCCTAGCAATTATAGTACCTGAACTGCTTGTGGAGCAACAGGCTAATGTCCTCCTCAAAAGGATGCACGGTCTGCGAAAAAAAAAAAACATTTGTATGGGTGATATTCTGCCCATGTGCTGCTCCAGCCAGGGGTGTGAAAGTAGCATGCACCTCAATGTCAGATACCTAAAAGATGAGCCTGGATGGCAAGTTTGCAGTTGACCACATATGAAAGGCTTGAACCACCCAGAAGGGAACGTCGAGGTCCACAAGGTTGTTGTTTGCTAGTCTTTCGGAACAAAAAAATAAATAAAAAAAAATGCGCAAAAGGTGACACCACAAAATGGAGCATTCATTCATTTTCTGGAGTGTAGAAACTAAAGAGCATATGGGTGAAGGTTTTACTGCACCACAAGAATCTGAAACACTCAAGAAGGAGTGTTACTATACAACCAATGAAGAGGCAGTGCCATGCATTTTTTAACATGGCAGACCACAGTTTTGTATTTTAAAGTTTCATTTGTTAATTGTTTTGTATCTTTAGAGTAAACTTCACCTGCAAGCGACTCCCTATAATTATAACTTCATCTAACAAACATACATAGTATTACCAGGAAGGGCAGATTCCTAAAGAGACAATAGAAATACAGGCAACATTGTTGCCAAATTACAAGGTTTTTAATCTCACTGAACGGATAACCGGAAGAGACAAAGGTTCTGGGATCATGAGGAGCTGTATAAATTCAAAGCTTACAGCAGCCCCTGGATGATATCATACTAAAAATGAAAAAAAAAAAGCAGGTTTGACAAAAATAAATTGCTCTTAAATCTGGACAAAACAAAGTTCATGTAATTTGAAAAGGATAAAAGAAATATAGATGGGAAAGTCAAAATAGATGGGGCAGCGGTGGAAAATGTAATTAAAATTAACATTTCTTAGGCGTTATCACTGTAATTATACAAGAAGCATATAGAAGAATTCCCATCTTCAGTGAAGCAAAGGATTTTCTGAAATTTAAAGCTTTACGCATTATCTACTGTTCATTGATTTTACCATACCTAAACTATTGTTTCACAAGTCTTGGATAATATCTCTCAAACTGCTATGCACACTGCAGAAAAAGAGCCATAAGGATAATTACTGAACCTGGCAATCATGACCACATTAATTGATTTTTCATTAATTACTGCTTAATTAAAAGTTCTAATCTGGAAGTTTTCAGACCTTGTAATTAATGTATAAAGCCAAAAAATAAACAAGACAGCATATAAACCTAAAGCTTTTTGGTATTAAAAACTGTAGGAAGGAGAGAGATTAATATTAATAAGGTTTTACTGCTTTATAAGTCTTTTCAGACAGAAACACTAAGTATAACATTATATTTGTAACTTTACTCGACTGTCTGAAATAAAGTCAGACTTTATTCCCTACAAACACAAGGGAGCAATAAAGCTGGTTTGGTTGGTGGAAGTTTGACTGTGTGTTGTCTGTTACCTACTGCTTTATTATTTAACATTGGGCTTCAACTGTTTTTTTTTTCAACTTCTCATATCTTTGTTCAAAACACAGAACTCTTTTTTTTTAATCATCAGAAGATTTGCTGGAAACGCTGCCTCGGTAAATGGTATCAGAGTGAAAATAAATGTCATGTAGCAGAAATATGAAAGCATTACAATTATTCAAATGAATTAAAGAAAATACGTTTATATCATCACATATGATCAAACAAATGGAAGAGTAAAGACAATTCTGTAAAAAAAAGTAAGATCAGTAGAAATAAGTCCAGCGTGGAGAGTAATGTTCTGCTGCATTCTTCAGTTTTACTGACGATTTATTACCTCGTAAATTTCAAAACAACATTTGTTTCAGGTCACGAAGCATGGTCAAAGGAAAAAGAATAAAGGGGAGTTGGAGTAAAAACCTAGACATATTTAAAGGAAATGTACTTATTACCTTATCAGAAACAATAAACAAAGAATAATTGTTGAAAAAGAGAGTCTAGAAAACATTAAATGAAATATGAAGAATCAACAGTATTTTTTGTGTGTTAAACTATTAGGCCTATTATTATAGTATTCAGGATTCATATTTATATAAGTTTTTTGTAGGGACTGCACAGTGCCTTCCAACATTACATTTCCATCCAATACAGAATCTCAGCATTGCACTAAATCTAAGCCTAAACTTTGTTGGTTTGATGATTAAGTTTTTTATGATTTTCCTAAAATGTGCCTCTTTTTCTGGTTTCATCCCATTAGATTTAATTCCACTGTTTCCCAACACTGAAAACTGTAGGATCAAAGCTTAAGATAAAACTCTATACTAAATATAGATAGATATAGGGAGAGTTATTAAATTAACTCTCTCTTTTAAATGTTTTTCCTCACCTCCTTTTTGTCTTTTCTATTTTTCCGTGTCCATTGCATTTAAGCTGTAATGCTCCACATGTAAAAGTAACTCTGTTGAGCTTCTCTTCGGTAGAATTATTCCAATGACTTTACACTGTATACAAGAAAAACTCAAATTTTAAAGTCAAGACTTTAGACTTGTTCTTGTGCTCTAAAGTTTCTGGGCTTCAATCGGACTTGAGGTCTGGGACTTGAACATCATGAACAACCTATATCCCATTTATCCCCCTCAGAAACAAGCAAGGAAGTGTATGTAATGGAAGCATACCATCAGTGTTGTATATGTGCAAGTAAAAGGAGTTAACCAAAGCTTCTACATTTGTATCTGTTTATCAGATCTTACCCCTGAGCTGCTCTAATAAAAAAAGAACAGAAAAATACATATCAATCATGAATTAATCTCAGAAAAAATAGGTACTGTATTCAAAAATTGCATTCCTTTTATAGATTTAATGAATTTTAATCATTCTTGGAAAAATTCTCTTTTTAAGCAGTCTCGTTCATCACTGTATCTTGAACAATATAGAAAGTGTTTCACAGATTCTAAATCTTGGCTCAACTAACTTCAATCTGTAACGCATCTTCCTAAGTATCACATGCTTGAATTATTAGTCTCCCTCTTAAATAACTCAATTTTTCAGGAAGCCCTATGGTAACAGTATGTATATGTTTCTTATGTATTTCTTATGTATTTCTTTTCAGACAAAACCAAGTCAATATAAAAGCTAAACATTTAACATTTTTTTAGACTTGCAGGTTAACATGTGGTTGTTTATTTTCTATTTGTAAATACATCTTTGTTTGTGTAGACTAATGGGCCAGAGGGTTTAAAATTATTAGTTTTTTATAAGTAAAACAACTGCTTTCCTCTGCCAACCAGCTGATATACTATATCTTTGATGAGGTGGTGACAGAATTGTATTTAATTCACAGAATTTGTGCGTTAACAGTTGTTTGCCAAGTTTTTGTTAAACAAATAATGGCAAATGGGTAATTTAGTTTTCTGTCAGCATGACCTCAAAACCTCAGTATGAGAAAGATGGTTTTCTTTTGTTTTTCACTGTAATTTTAACCTCATTAGGATTCATTATCTATGGGAAAAAAACTGATTTCTAAATCCACAAGTTGTCTTTCTTTTGTGGGGTTGGAAAGGAAATACATAGAATTAACTTAATCACCTAAACTCTGAGTTCATTTTTCCTGGCCTAGAGGAATATATACGGTAAGTAAGGGGGCCTTTACTGAATAGTATTTAGAGCAGGATAATGGTTCTCTGATGTATGCAGGCGCCAGCAAAACCATATGTGCGAAACCTCTCAACAGGCTCTATACTGTAAAGGGCACAAGCAGACGTAGAAGCCTGTAAAAGAAAAATGTAAGGAGGATGTTCTTGGACAAATAGCCAGGTTAAGCATACCTTATTGACGCATGCATTCCATTTAAAGTGTGAAAAGGCATGAAGAGACTTGGGGATAGGACTCAAAATTATATACTTACCACACTTATGATTAACGCTTTGATTGTGGTTGATAAAACTCTCAATTCCTTAGGGCTCAAACTTCTCCAAAACTTCAATGACACAACAGTAGATAGCAAACCAGAGTACGAAGAGTCATGCTAATGACAGGGAATGTCTGTGTAATGGATGAAAGACATGTTAAAAAGCAGATGTCTTTGCTATTCCGCAGATGGCACTGATATTTAGATTGCTGCAGGTAATAGGTTGTTGTGTAAGTTACATCAAAGTGAAAAAAAGGCATATGCACTAATGAAACAGGATGGATGGGGCCACAGCTGCAGAGAGGGTTGGTGGAGCTATTTATCCTCAGTAGGCAACATATTCTACTCAGTCAGACTGAAATACAAGAGAGGGGAGATTGGCAGGAGACATCAAGAAACTGGTAGGTACCGCATCAGTTAAGTTTGATTTTAGCAGTAGGAGATCTGTATTAAGAACATAAACTGACTGCCTTCATCTTTAAAACATCCATTTTTTTGTATCTTTCCTTAAGTGATCATGAGGACATTGGTGCTCTTCCTTTTAATGGGAATAGTGGATGTGACCATCAGCCAGAGCTACAGCCCCTTCCAGTGGCTGTCTCAGCTACGAGGCCGGAGGCAGAATGCAGGCTGGTATTCGGAGGCTGCAGATTGCCCCTTGGAGTGTGACTGCCCAACAACCTATCCCACAGCTATGTACTGTCACAGCCGCAACCTGCAGCACGTTCCCTACGTTCCGTCACATATAAAGTATGTATACCTGCAGCGTAACCAAATCACAGGCATTCAACATGGCGTGTTTGACAATGCTACAAACCTGATGTGGGTGATTTTATCACACAACAAGCTCAGCTCAGAAAAACTCAGCGACAGTGTGTTTGTCAAGCTGGAAAACCTGGATCGACTATATCTGGATCACAATGAGCTGACCCGGGTGCCTCGTAACCTTCCAAGTTCTATATCTAGACTGCAACTTTCCCACAACAAAATTGCAAAAGTTTCCTCTAAATCATTTGATCGGATGTCTAACCTCACCACCCTTCAACTACAGGCTAATGTCATAGAAGAGTTAGAGGGTGGGTTTAAGGATCTAAAATCTCTTATTATGCTGGATATCGGGAAAAACAAGCTAAGGAAAATCCCCGACAGCCTTCCTGAGAGCCTGCAACAGCTCTACTTGGAGTTTAATAAGATAGAGAGTGTGCCAGCTGGTTTTCTTACTATGTATCCTAACCTGCAGTTTGTCCGCTTAGCTCACAACATTCTGACAAACAAAGGACTTCCCTCCAGTGTCTTCAACACAAGCACACTCGTTGAGCTTGACTTGTCCTTCAACAAACTGGAACAGATCCCTAATGTCAATAGGAACCTGGAAAACCTGTATCTACATGCCAATAAGATCAAAGGTACGTACACTTATATGGAACCTAAAGGAAAACAAAATACAACTAAGGTTTAAAAGGAGAATTTTGAATATTTTATTGTTTTGAATACTCTATTGCTTTTATGCCTAGAATAATACAATTTTCATTTTCAATCACTGAAACAGGACATAATGGTTTACACCTGATTTCATCATCTCGGTAAAATGTTTATCATGCCCTCAAAAAGCCTTTGTTAACACAAGTCATGCTAACAGGTCACTTTTCTTACAGCATTTGTAGTGATAAGGACGATGAAGTCATTTCACAAATCCTTATTGTTGCAGCACTACTTCAGAGTGCAGGGCCACATCTGTTTTAATCAAGAACAAACAGTATACAATTAGTCAATTATATAGCCAGCAATTGGTAAACAAAATACACAAATGCTAAATGCTGCATGGATTTATGCACTCTTAAGATCAAATGTGGCATAAGTTGACATTAACGTTGAGTTTTTCACTAATGATTTAGCTCTGTTAGTTGTTTTTTACTTATGTATTTATTTATTAATTTCTTTCCCATATTTAATTTCCTTAAGATCATGTTTGCTTTGTGTGTAAACACAAATGTGACACTACTAAATAAAAAAAATGAGATGAGCAAACACAAAACCTGAACTAGCAAACACTCGAGTTAGAAGTAAACTAACGTAAATATAGATGCATGAAAAAAAAATGAAGTAAACTAAAAAAGCAGTGATAACTGAAATACAGAGAAGCAAGGTGGAAATGCCCTGCAAACATAATACCCACTGAAAATAGATAAATTATGTTAAATCACAAATCCATGCAATGGAAAAATGCTGCAAGCAACAAAAACAGTTGCAAGTTAAAAAAAGCTGCAAACTACCTCTGGATATAGAAGTGCTCCAAACCTATAGTGGAAACGATAATCACCTCATATGTGACCAGACCATTAGTCAAGGCATAAACAAAATGCTAAGAGAGATGGTTTAAAAAAGATTAAAAGGAAAACTTGCCTCGTTTTTATTCCATCCAAGCATCCCTGGAAAGCATTCCATTCATGTTTGAAACAGCTCTGGTCCTTAACATTAACTGCTAACAAGGTAATGATCGTCTCTCCCTAGAAGACTGCCCGCAAATAATAACAGACTAGTGAAACAAAACAGGAACTAAGATCAACAATTAGAAAAACATGATTAGAATCCATAAACTAACACTGCACCATAGATAAAACAGGAATTTTAAAGGTATAGAGGACAATCTTTTATTTCCAGGTGGATCATCTAAATAAGTGGTCCTGCTAATTGTCAATCATTGTGGATGATATATTTACGTAAAGCCGTACTACATGTTCATTCCGTTTGCTATCTTTTTGCACACATTCAGGTGTATATCCATGGTGAGCTACAGTTTCAGACATTCATTAAAGCTCACCTTTCTCACAGAGGTTCTTTGAAAATGGCCAAGGGTCATAAGAGAAAAACTGTCTACGAATTACGTATGTGATGAAAAGAAAGGCCTCAGAAGAGGCAGATATATCCTGGAATGCTTTGCACGGAGGAATCTCCTCATAAAGCATTATGGGATTTGCTGTCACAGCGGCCCGCTATCACCATAGGCTGTCTTTACCCGAGAGCGGCGACTAATAACAAAGATGGAGTAGTCACCTTGCAGTGGAGGAGGAGTTACGTGATCATCTGCCCAAACGTTCAGTTAACTGAGTTCACTATAAAGTTCACTATATAATCCCCGCTCTATATAGTGATTGAGGGATTTAGGTGTCAGGGCGGATGTTCAGACATAGTAAACTTGTATGAGCCATGAGAACAGCAACTTTTAAACAGAGCGTGCACAAGAAGAAATGGGCTTGTGCATGATCTCGCAACGTCGTTTGCTCTCAGGGTACAGGGTTGTGCATGTGCATTATTTTTATAGTAGAGAGGGTGGGTCTTTTAAAATAAATCCTCCATAATACTTTAAAGTTCAGTCCAACAGTAAGCAGCATGCTCCACATACTGAAAGGTTTGGTCGTAAGCTGAGCTTTTGATCACTGTACTTTCGAATAAAACATACTTAAAGGGGGTCATAGAATGATTATATAGGGCATTTGGTGCTGGTCCTTAAAGTCTCTGAATAGGGTGTGTAACATTGGTTGGGCTCAAAATGGCATATTTGCTGTTCTATGAGCTCTAATATAAGCCTGGTTCAAAGCCCTAGAATGAAACGACAGGTTTTCTTCTTTTTATGGTATGCTCATGAATATTTAGATGAGCTGTGCGCTGATTGGTTGGTTTACAACAAGCAAAGCTGCTGAGCAAAGGCGCATCATAGCAACAAGCACTCACTGAAACATTGAGATTTCTGATATGGTAGGGTGATCAGACGTCCCCTTTATCCCAGACATGTCCTACCTTTCACACCTAAAAAAATGTCCGGGGGGAATTCCAAAGTCGTCCGGGATTTTGGTTGACTACAGTGCAGCACAACCGAGCCGGCAGGCGGGGGGAAGCACGGGGGGAATCACGCTAAGGCAAGCATACCATCACTGGATCAGGTTCGGTCCAACCCGGGAGCTGATGGCTCAGTTCGAAAGCCCGGGTCCGCTCCAGTCAGCAAACCAATTTCGAGGCGTGACAAAGGTACAGGCCAGAACCAAATAGGACAACATCCCCGAATTGATGTCAAATCGTTGCTTCGTTTGAAATTACTCGTTTTATGGTGGAAGTTTAGAATTGTGAGATTTGCAGAGAAAGGAGGTGTCGATGGGGTTTGAACTTCTCTGTACGTCCATTTCACCCACTGAACCATCGTTATTCATCTATGACGATGTAAACTCCGTTTTGCATTCTATGACCCCTTTAAGCAAATCTAAAACACTAACTGTGGAATAAAGCCAACTTTATGCAATTTTGTGCCCCTCCCTGTATTTGTTTTCACTCTACTTTTAAGTCAACCAATGCAGTGGACAGTAATATTTGGGTCTTTTTGTACATTCAATTGCTCTAACAGCTGACAGTTTCCACCAAAACCAAAAACACAATTCCCAGATAAGTTCTATGAATATTTTCAGCTGTTGTTAATAGTGTTGCGCCGATGCCATTTTTTGGCACCGATACTGATACCCGATACCTGGCTGTGCAGTATCTGCCGATACCGATACCACCATTTTAGGGCAGTATCGGGGCCCCGTCCGATACTCGTATCGGTATCGGTGCAACACTAGTTGTTAATAAATTTACTGTAATGGTTGTATTCATCTTTCATTTTTCACAAATGTTGGTGGTGGAAAGATCCTGGATCATTAATCATGATTGCAAGATGTTCACAAGCACTGCCTCCTTAGTTATACAATGTGTTTACCGCCATGTTTGTAGGGATACTGAAATAAAAATTATATGATATGTGTAGTTAAACTGTAGCACTTCGCTGTACAATCAAACCCGTTTTTTTTATAAAACCATTAAAGAATTTTGATGGTAAATAATAAATCACAATGGTAAACTTCCCTTAGCGTACAGTAAACACCAAAATGTCCAAAGCTTGCCAAATGATTTAGATGGAACTATAACTGCAACTGCACAGTTGCAGTTAAGTATTAAAACTCAGAAACTATTAAATTAAAACGTTTTAACTGCTACAAGCATTACACTCTGCCAAATGTCCTAAGAATGACTGGCATTATTGCATAAAATTAGATTAGAAACCACAGCACCTTTGCATAAGAAATGGAGCACAGTTAACGGCCTACTGGGGTTTTTCTAAAGTTTTATTTCCTTAACTTAATGAGTATTCCTGATAATGTATCCCATTTTGCTATGGAACTTTGTAGCCACAAATTAGCTTATACAAAAGTTGAGTTTTAATTGTTTCTTGCATTTAAAAAACACATAATTTAAAAATAAAATCCACAAATTGAGAAAATGATGGATGATGGAACAATATCCCTGGATCTCAAACTGTACTGCAACTCTGTTTTACAAACAAAATGGCCTAGTTTCATTTAATTGACTGAGCTAGTAAGAGCTGATAAGCAAAAACAGCTGATTAGTTTTTTTTAGCACATTAGTTTTGCTTTTTATAAAGTGAGACAGTAGATTTATTTGATAACTTTAAGTGCAAACTAGAGAATACACAAGTTGTCTAAATCCGAAGGCAAGGTAAATAAAAAAACAAACAACATAAAAATGAAGAAATACATTTTGACAACATAATTACTTTTGCAATTATGTGCTCACATAGACGTTGGTCTTTATGCAAGAGAGAGTTTATATTGTTAATGAAATCAAGCTTTGAGAGTTTTTTAAACAGGATCAAACTGCACACAGGAACTTGGTTGTCGAAAATTAATATGATGATTCAATTATAGAATTAAGAGCAAACTTAGAACAGAAACAAGGAATCAGGGCAATGAGCATGAAAGGGCAAATTGTTAGAGTAAGGGATGTTGTGCAATTTTACCAGCAGATGATGAATATATCAAATAACTAGAACTGGAAGTTATAGTTAATTAATAGGTCATTCAAATCATTAGTAAAACCAATTTATGATCATAAGTTAAATGATTATACCTGTCATCTGCTTACTCACTGTGATTGTTTAGTCTTCTGTCCAAAGTTGGACTTCCTCAACTGGCTTTTAAAATCCAACTGTCTTTACCAATTTAGTAATTTAGACTATTTTTATTAACAGTTATTAACCATCAAGCAAAAGAAAATGTCTTTGTTTATTCAAGTGTTAACCAAAGGAGGGTGGATCTGCCTTTGAATGATAAATCATTCACTGTATAAATTATCACAGACTACTAAGGGTTAAAATATCAGTACCTCTATTACAGTTTTATTATGTCTAATAACTATACAAACACTAAACACTACTGAAAATAAGCACAATCTAATAAAAGAGGATAGGTGTCCAAGCGTCAGTTCAAAGAGTCTTAAGGAATGTTCAATTTTAGGCTGGATGTATTAATACAATTGTTCGTATTTTTAAAAAAATCGCAGCAGCTAAATGTGAAAAACCGATGCAGAGATCTTGAATACAATCAAAACATTGTAGTTTATTCAGTTTTACAGTAAATTCAGGAGTGTATTAAAATGTAGCAGCACTGGAGCAAAATAGATTAGCTCAGATTACAACAGGGGAGCAAGCCACGAGGCGCGCCAGCTGGAACAATGGGCCATAAACTCACATGAGCTGAATATGAGGTAGCTTGAAGCCATAGACAATTGTATACGTGGAGTCCTCACTGGATGCTGTTGGCAGCAAGGTCGACGTACCTAGAGGGCAGCCATCCTAAATCCTACCACAGTTCAGACAGCTAGTGTCAGAATGAATAGGACACACCTTTGATCTCATTTTTATCACATGTAAGAACAGTCAGAGATAATATTACAATAACCTCTTACATGTCACAACCACTTAAAAGAACCACTAAATTCACCTTTACATTAGATAACACATATTTATTTAGATTAAAACAATTTAAACTGAACTCAAACTGGATGAGATACATGCAAAGTTATGTTTGCATGTTTTGCAAATAAATATTAATATGATATACACAAAGTTTTATATTAATATATTATAATATGTTTTTACAAATATTAAATATTTATATGGTATATTATTTTGTATTTGTAAGGATTGCTCTTTGATAATGAGTATTATGATCTATAGAGGGAAATTTGCTGTAATGCGATTTACGAAAGAGAGTTAAGTTATAATTATTTTTTTTTTATTTTAATTTTTATTTATTTTTTGTTATTGTTAATACTCTAGCAAGAGAATTATTCTGATGAAAAACATCAGAGGCAGATCTGCTGGGCTTCATTTGATCATTTACAGCAATTTTGATCTTCTCCTCAGAGTGGCTGCTGATAGCTTTGTAGAAGTCAACCATTTTCACCTACTGGTGGTGAGTCTGAAATAGTGGAAAAATTGCAAATCTTCTTTTGGAAAGTAAGCTTGTAGGAGTGATGCAAACAGTAACATCTAAACAGAGCATGCACGTGGAGCGGGTTACGTGGTTGTGCATGTGCATTTTTTTTTTTTTAAAGGAGAGGGCTAGTTTTTTCAGAAGTTCACGAAAAATGTCCACTATACTACGGTATATTTAACCCTGAAATGAAGCAAACCTAAGGTTTAAAAAAAAAAATGTTTCACAACAGCTGCTGCTAGTTTGTTTAATCAACTCTGAGTAGGTGTAACCCCTATGGAAAGCCATTGTAAATGGAGCTCCATAATGCAGAATTACAAAAAAAGTTATTGGAGAGTGTGTTTAAAAGGGAAAGAAAATGCGCACCAGCAGCAAAAGAGAGGGAGGTGGCATAGGAAAAGGTTGCTGCTCGAGTTAATAACTAAATTTAGATGATGTCCACTGGCATGCCTTTTTTGGCATTTATTGAAACTGGTTTGCTCTCTGTTGTTCCATTTGTAGATCACTTAAATAGGATTTTTCCTGGTCAAAATCACATTCCTAGTCTGAATTATAATAACTGATTTTCTAAACTTCATTTTTGCAATTATAAACAGAATTTAAGAATGTCAAAAAACAGACTTAGACTTGTAAGAATTAAGTGTTGTATACCTAGAAATGTTGACACATTTTAATTGCCCTTTTTGACTTTTATGAGCTACACTGAATATGTATTTATGACATCTGAAATGAATTTCTTCCTGGTCCAAATAATGACAAAGAAACATTTGACACAATATTTATTTTAGATATGAAGACTGTCATTTTATTTGCAATGTTCATTTTGACAAGGAGAAAATGTATTTATACATTGTGAATACATTTTCAGACAAACTAATAAATATCAAAACAGATTGCCATAGTCTGTCACAATAACGTTGTGGTGGAAAACTATTTTACTGCTTTAATGTTAGTGGATCAATTAATTATTTTTTGGTGCAATCTGACGGGAGACAAGCACAGCTGTTAGCAGGTGAAGATTAAGAAAAAAAGGTTGTACAGGTAGGACCTGCCCTTCAAAATACTTTCCCTCTGGGATTATTAAAGTTATTCTTATTCTGACTGTGCAGATGTTTTCTATAATGATGTTTTCACACACGGTCCTTGTAATGCTGTTAATATGAGGGTGGATAAGGTTGTGGATGTATGTGATGGATTGTGAGGTAAAATATAAAGATAACTTTCAGAATATAAAGAACACCTCTACGTGGTCTGAGAGCCCTCTTCCTCTAAATATTTAATTCTCTGTGAATTTATGCCACCTATTCTTTAATTGGATGCTTGTCAAAAGGACTGCTGTGATTGCGTTAACACCTAAGGTGTCAAATGGACCTACTGAATTATTTGGAGACAGAGGACACTAAGTTTATTGAGGAAAACCTTCTCCCAATCAGGTTAGCTCTAGGGAGAATGTTACTACGGAAACAGATGCAGAGGTTGAGTAAATCTGTGAAACAGGCCTCAGGATGACATCGCTTTGATCATGCCAGGCAGTGAGAAGGTCTACTTGGTTAAATGAGGGAGTTTAATGGAGAAACCCCACAATCTGAGCACACAGGGATAAACCATCAGGGTAACAAACATTGGGTATTGTGAGGAATCTATGGTTGGGGAACAGAAACTTGGTTGAAGCAGTAAAAGCAGAAACAAGTGATGAGGTCCAAGGGTCTTTCTTAACACAGCACAGGAAAAAATGTTGAACTAAGAGCAGCAGATACAGGCTGACAGATCCAGGGGATAGAAAGGAGATGGTAGTGGGAAGCAGAAAGAAAGTAAATGTCCAGGGATCAGGATCAAGGAGAATATTTGATGTGGGTGAGGCAGAACCAGATGTTTCAGGAGACTGAAACATGATGGAGAACATGCAGATAGGCAGGGAACAAGAAATGCTGGACGTTTACTCACTTAAAGGCTTTTAAAAACCTAGCAAAGTTAGCCAGACAGAGTGTGGTATATGTATATGTATGTGGTATGTGCAGGCAGGATAGATGCAGGTGGAAACAATGATCCAAATTAATGTAGCGAGAGAGGAGCCAGAACAGACAAATACTACCATACAGTTTAACCCAGAATATATCCTCCTGGGCCTTCCGCATCCTATGATTAAATCAATAAGCAGATAAGCAATAAGCGATTTTATAACCTTGTAAAGTTTGATGCCATTAAGGACATTCTGCTTTTTGGATCAAGGAGTCTGAACCCTCTACGACCTCATAGCACAATGTGATACAGGAGGGTATGACTAGTGATTATAACACATTTTTCCCTAGGAATTCAACAAACATTGTTTACTCAACCTGGGACCTATACCTTAGACATAATGGGGCCTATGTTGGCTTCGCACCTTTCGAGTTTTTTTGTTTAATCAACTAGATGAATCTATTAAACTGTCAGCTTTAAGCTTTGCAAGGGGTACAAGTTTGCTTTGAGCTGATTTTTTGTTTTTATTTGTTGCATTTGTTAAAACATTTGTTATAAAATTGTCAGACCTTTATGAATATGTGTAAAGAAATATGTACTATTACTATTATAATAGTAATTGTTATTAATTATTATTGTTCTAATTATTACTATTAAAGTATACAGTCGTATGTTTACATTATCACTGCTGCATACCTTTATCAAGGCTGCACTTTAAAGAATGAAAATGTCTTCAGAGCTGTACTGAACAAAATTTCTTTTTGTATACACTCTGTGTACAAAATGACAAATAAAGTCTGTCTAAGTCTATTTAATGCAGCTGTACTTATTATCAAAGTGATGCTATGATAAGTGATGTTAAAAAAGCAAGTCAATTTCTTGTATTTGAACAATTTTGTCTGGGAATTTCTTCACTAAATAAGCCAGCAGCTGCATGAGCAGTGAATTCAAAAAGTGTGAACCCATCTGTTCCTAATTAAACTATTCACAATTGAAGGACTAACTTTAATTATACGCCTGCCTAGTTTGACTGGAACAAAGGAATGTATAACCCGGACACAGCCTTTAAGAAAAGCCTAACATTTCATTTTCAAGCAATAACCACTTGTCAGAGGATGGGTTTCACAGTTGTAATTTTTTTAACTGCTCATGTTTATAACATATTCTCATATTTCTGTCTCTTTCCAGAGTTCTCTTTGAGCAGTTTCTGTGACACATATGATGGGACAAACTTCTCCAAGCTGAAAGTGCTGCGTTTGGATGCTAACAAAATCAGTGCTAGAGACATTCCTGCTGAGGCTGCCTACTGTTTGCGGCTGGTTTCCTTTATTGATGTGTAGAGCTTCTTGTTCTTTTCTTTTTTTTTTTCTTTATCTCTAACTTGTATGCCCTCACTGTTACCGGTCTGTTACATTGGTCAAGAAAATGTTTTATTAAACAGTTATGCTATTAACATTCCACTCATAATTCCAGAGTCAGCCAAGAGGAAATACCAGTGTTGGATAACCTAATATCTAGATTACAGTCATATGGACATTTGAGACCCGATAAAAACATTTTTCAGAAATATCAGAATTTAAGTTTTTGGATTAATGCTAAATATCACAATTATACATAAACAGAATGTAGCTAATTGTGGACATTTTATTCAGCCTAAAACTTTTAATCAACTGTATAAGATTCAGTATCGATCTTTGCCTCCACCATGTGGAACGCCATAAAACTTCATGCTAAGGAATTATGTATTAGGCAAAAAATAATTATAAATCTTAGTTGATTATCATTTCTGTTTCTTAATTGCACGTATGGCTCTGTAAACTGAGCTGCCTCAATTTGGTCATGCATAAGTTCCATGTTGTAGACATGGAAGCTTCCTTTTTTATCATTACAGTGCTTTAAGTACTGGTTAAGGGCTGGTGTCTTTCTTGGTTCTAAGCAGTAACAAGTTATGTAAATAAATGTTTTGCTTTTTCAAACATTCTGCCATGATGCCCAAGTTTTTTTAGTGCTTTGTTTTAGGGAGGCAAATCTATGAGTGGGCGTCTTCCGTTTTTTGTCTTTTTATCAGTTGAAAAATTTGTGTTTTACAATGTGTTTAAGAAGATTATTTCCCTTTTATCTAACCAGCAAAGCATTTTGATTAATCAAATCCTGATAAGATTGCCCCATGGATAGACTGTATCTAAATGAAATGTAAGTATGTTCAACTTGCTTTATCCACCTGGGCAGTTCCACTTAAAGCTTGGGGTCATTGACCAGAGGCCTGGGAGCTTTAGTGTCTGGACAGCATCTACGCTATTCCCAGGACTACGATTTTTGGACGGAGGTTTCTCTTGGAATTTGTTACAGCATTTCCCCCGAGTTCGGGGTCATAGCCCCGAGTGCGCTGATGACCACTAAGCCTTGAATCTCCTCAACGTCTCCATTTCCTCTCTAAGCCCTTGGTATTTCTCAAGCTTCTCATGTTCCTACTTCTTGATGTTGCTGTCCATTGGGATTGTTGTTTTATCTGTCAGTGCTGCTTTTTCTTCTTCCACAATTTCTATTTAGCTAATTCATGTTGCACCATTTCAGGTAGAATCTTTTCAAAAGGTTCCTTAATAGTTCCTGTTTGATGTGGTAGAACTTTATTGCTCTTGTGCTCGTGTTCCTTTGTTATTTGTTCTCCCTTCAGGCCTCATGATGCTTGCTATTTGGGGGTTTGTCACTCACATTTTTTTTTATTATTATTATTCTTGTACTGCTTTTTCTATGGGGAGATGTATTTACTGTTGCACTTTGTTATTGTTGGTCATATTCTTGATGCAGCTCAAGATCTTTGCCGATTTACCCTGAATCGTGACCTTCCACTTAGCACCCAGTCTAATAGTGCTAGGCTTCTTGTCTCACTCACTGTGTAGCTGAGTATCCAAATCTATAAACGCAAACCACCTTAAAGCATATTTGTTCCATTAAAGCTAAATTGTTAGATTAAGCCTTTATAGGGCACTCAGTGATATACTTTAAAAATCAAAATTACAACGCAGTAGTGTTATTGGAATCCAAGACCTTATTACCTTTGTAACATAAAAAAAAAACATGGATATTTTGATGGCAAAAATGAATGTCAATGTAATAACAAGAAACGCTAACTTGCTTGAATATAATATGAAAAATAACAAAGGTGCTTCTATAAAAAAATTCATGAAAAACACTTTTTTAGTTTATAAACCTAAATATAATTGTTAACTAGGCTTATTAACTTTACTTTTTAACTTTACAATTAGCTTTTTACCTTTTTTTCTTGACTTTTCTTCCAACTTAATTTGCAGTAGGTAATATATCATTCAGGCATGTAGCAGTATCTTTGCTGAATAGCATGATATTGAACTTGTGCTTCTAGATTTCACTTTCGGGGGTGGGGGGGTAGATTCCATTTCTAAGGGGTATGCAAGTGATCTAAAATGGTAAATTGCCCTATAATGGGTTAAATGTACATTTTTTCAAAATATTTCTGTATTAAATTGCATTCTGTAACTAACTTAGATTTTTTATAATTTGCTGTGAGTGAAAAAAAAATAAGTGAAGCTTCCACCAAGAAGTTCAAAACTGTTAAAGCAAAGGAAGATTCGTCTTATAAAAGGAGCAGGGCGTACCCTTCCCCCCTCAAAAGAGCAACTGTGATGCTCTAGCCCATACTGTGAATTTGCAAAACAAAGAGTCGGGGTTAAACATGAGGAGGGAAGGGGCAAATGGGATTTAGACCTAACTACCAGGAAGCTCATGTTTCATTTTGAAGAACCACACAATGATACTGATCAATTATATGTAAGGAGTATATTGTTTTTTTTGTGTCTTTTTTTTTTTTTGTACTGCATTCAATTGATTGTTTTTCTATTTCCTTATTCCAGTTGTTGTGTGATGTTTCATGCAGAACACTGTATCTAGTTGTTGGAGTTCTTGTAGACTGCAAACATAAACTAAAGCAATGTTAACCAAAAATGCTTTGTGTGCAGTGTTTTCCTTGACGTTATTGAGGAATAAAAAAAAAAAATAATAATTTCCTACCTCTACATTTCCCAAAACACTCTCCTGCTTCTACCATCTTGGGGAAGACAGCACAAGCAAAATTTATGGTGCCAGTATTCCCTCAGCAACATATAACTTTAGCAAACACATGGTCAGTATTTTCTTGCCTCACATCACATTACACAGGGAAGAAAAGCAACATTTGATAAAGGTTTTGAGCAACGTTTGATATCACTTGCTCTTTACATGTATACCAACATTAGAGGCCAGGAAAACGTTTAGATAAATGTTTGATTAAGATGCAGATTTCTACAAAAAGATCAGGTTTGATCTATGTCAAGAATTTTTTTTCTTCTACAGAATCATAGCTTTGCTTTTAGATCTCCAGTGTCACTGATTGTTGCCGATCTCTACATGGTTGAAGTGGAAGTGAGCCCTGAATTCCTTTAAGGGAATGCCACTGGGGAACTGGATCAAATATGTGACAGATAGGCTACTTTGGTCTAAATCCAGGTGATTGAAATAGAGGGTATCACAAGACACATCAACATCAAGTTCACCAGATAGATCACTAAAAACCAAAAGCTATCTTTTGTTGGATAGTTCAGTGCACATGGAAAGAAACAGTAGCCTTAACATTCAGGTTAACAAGAAACAAATGCACACAGATGGTAAATGGAGTGAATTTATGCAATGCCATTTTAGTCAAATTGACCACTACAGATGCTTCATACTACAGAAAAATTCACTCAGCCTCTTTCTCAAATGTATACATATTCAAACCAATATGAAGATTGTTATGCAATTTGGGGTATGAGAGGATTACTCTTTCCAATGAATCACAGTCACTCCAGAACCGTACATTCCATTTGATTCTCATCACTCACTGGAGCACATATTTTATGTTTTAAAAGAAAAAAGAAGATGGTCAGATCAAATAATTTATCCAAAACTGTAGATATTTTATCTGGGCTTTTATTAAAGCAGTGAGGAAACCCAGAAACAAAACTAAGCAAGATATGAAAAAGACTAAACATAAAAACATTGCCATCACCTATGCAGCTGGAACATCTGAGAAACTCAAAGAAATTTTCTTCATATTTTCTTCACCTTGGTCTCATGTGAGTTAATAGTTTACTCCTCCTAGTGCTCTGGAGTATTGCAGATACGTTTAGTTATTTTTTAGTTAGTTATCTGTTTATTTCAAAAAAGCATAAAGAAAGACAATGTGTTATAAAAAAAAAAGTACAGTCTTTTCAGACTGTACTGTTACTGTAAATCAGAATCAAGTTTATTCCCAAGTAGGTTTGCACTTTCAAGGAATTTGACTTGGTGTTGTTGGTGCAGACGAAAAACAAAATAAGATAGAATATATATATATATGGGAGAGAAATGGGGAGAGAAACATTGTCCAGTGTCACGGGCGGCTCTTGGCCTTGTTGATAAGGCCGGTAGCAGATGGGGAAAAAAACTGTTTTTGTGACGGGAGGTTCTGGTCCAGATGGACCGCAGCCTCCTGCCAGAGGGAAGTGTCTGAAATAATCTGTGACTGGGGTGCGAGGGATCAGCCACAATCTTCTCTGCGCGCCTCAGAGTCCTGGAGGTGTGGAGCTCCTGGAGAGATGGGAGGTTGCAGTCAATCACCTTCTCTGCAGACCGGATGACACGCTGCAGTCTGCTCTTGTCCTTAGTGGTGGCATCAGCGTACCAGATGGTGATGGAGGAAGTGAGGATGGACTGAATGATGGAGGAGTAGAACTGCACCATCATTGTCCTGGGCAGGTTGAATTTCTTCAGCTGCCGCAGGAAGTACATCCTCTGCTGGGCTTTTTTGGTGAGGGAGTCGATGTTCAGCTCCCACTTTAGGTCCTGGGAGATGATAGTTCCCAGGAAGCGGAAAGACTCCACAGTGTCAATGGTGGAGTCACAGAGTGTGATTGGGGTAGCTGGGGCTGCGCTCTTTCTGAAGTCCACAACCAACTCCACTGTTTTTAGAGCGTTGAGCTCCAGGTTGTTCTCCCTGCACCAGGTCACCAGATGGTCAGCCTCCCACTCCTCACCATTAGAGATCAGTCCGATGAGAGTGGTGTCGTCCGTGAACTTCAGGAGCTTGACAGACTGATGACTTGAGGTGCAGCTGTTGGTGTACAGGGAGAAGAGCAGAGGAGAAAGAACACAGCCCTGGGGGGAACCAGTGCTGAATATGTATATATTATTATCTTACATAAAAGTACATAATCAGAAAGGAGTGGGTAGAATTTTACACTTATTTTGTCCCACCTCTTTTCTTTTTTAACATCAGACAGGATATACTTTTACATTTGTTTCCTTGAGTATTTGTAAATTCCAACATGTTCAACAATGTACCTTGGTTTCATAGCTCTCATAATTCAAGAAAATAATTTCCTTATATTTCTTTATATTTATATTTTATATATATTTATAATTTTAACTCTTACTGAAGCACATTTTCTTTGTCTTAAAGTTCTTTTTATATCGTAACTTAGGTATTCCTTCCCTTTAAATTATACGTTTTTGAATATTCTTAGATAATAATTTTATTTTATCTTTAAAAAACTATTTGTGATGTTTTAAAAGCTATGAGAGCTGTACATTTTAATAATTTAGACTTTAGGATCAGTGACTTAGTATAATCTTAACAACCAACTTTGTGGAGATATCTTATTGCTCTTTTCAGTTGTGTACCCAATGACTGCAAACATGTTTTATAGGTGTTTTCCCAAACCTTAAAACAATATTTGAGATATTATAAAACAAGAGAACAATATAATATATGTTAGGATCTTAAGGGTTTTACTATTTTTCTGGTGTGAGTGAGCTTTCCTGTTACAAAGAGGATCTTTGCTGGTGGCCGGGCCAACCTGTGTTGCTGCACACCTGAGAGTGTTTCTCAATCAAGGTGTCTAGCATGTATATAATGAGGTGAAGGATCATCTCTCTTTGCTGAATGATTACCTCTAATGGTATTTCTGCCAAAGACATAAACCAGGAATACCTTTCTGTTGAAATGTATCTTTTTGTGAATCTTTTAAATGTGTGTTATTGCACCAGACCAGTGAACCCCAGTTTTCCTCCAATCTTGATAGATTTTTTTTATCCTTTTGAAAAAAAATGTCTGTTTATTATTTCATTGTGATTGTTAGTGGTTGGAGTTTTTGTATGCCTTGAGAATTAAATAAAATTAAATAAAATCAATCCATCAATTCAGGTTATTAATAGATGTAACTGAACCAACTATGAGCCACTTCATCAGTCCAATACACAGAACTCCAAAGAAAAGTTGATTTTATATATTTTTCATTATGTATATAATACGTTTCATAACACAAACCCAATGCCAGCCATCTCCTTAAGTTGCGGGCAAGCAGCTCAGTCTAGTTTCACAACAGACTTGTAAAGCCACCCATCAGCACAGCCGGACGCTTGTCTGCATTCCAGACGAGGCTCTGTTGTTCTCGAACGCACCTATTGACAGCAGCCTGTGGTTAAGGTAGTGTATTCTAGATATAAATTTACATCTACAGAAGGGCACCTTCCAATCAGCTTTAAAGCTAGGAAAGTCTCCCTCACTAACTTTGACATGAGAAAGCCCTTGGGATAAAGGATTAAACATTTTTAACTAGTTTTCAATTAATTCCAGCTGTCTTTATTTGTCTTTAACTGTGTTTCAAGTTCACATATTCTAGACTGAGAGTCTTTACCAACAAGTATTCCAACCACAGATGCTTCTGTCAATCTTCAAGGATTTTATTTTTGGAGCTATATATATAATTAGCTTTAATTATTGACAAGGGAATGCTGCTGCTCATGGTGAAAACATTTTTCCAATACCAGTCATGATTTTCGTACTGCACTTAATTTGTTTAGAGGGGTTTTCATTCAGAAATTTGCTGGCTGATGGGGATAATGACTCACACCTGGTAGTCTGTATGTGAACTTGTGTATATTTGTTACTTTGTGGGGACCAATTTCCTAGGAAAACGCTACTTGTGGGGACTTATGGGAACTTAAAGGTACTTGTGGGGACCAATCAACTGG